TGCGACCCTGGCCGCAGCCCGTGACCGACGAGCTACGTCCGCGCAAAGTAAGGTCGTTTCAACCTTGACAACATATGCCAATATCAAGGTCATTGGAGTTGACTCAGAGGAGTGTAGGGATACAAGAGTTTTACTAAACTGATAACTTTTATTGCACATAGCGTCCTCTAAAGGCGCTATTCAAGCGAAGTATTGTACAGCTAAACTTAATTACTCGGCAAGACCTTTACAACAATATGTAAATTCATTCCAATTGGCGATTATTACTTTGCCCATTTCCCTTGATGAGGCCCGTCTACAATACACGGAGTAAGAAGTAAGAGTAAGAAATTGACCAATCACAGTCGAATGTGAGAAGAATACTCGACTGTGATTGGTCAATTTCTTACTCTTAGTTCTTACTCCGTGTATTGTAGACGACGCCTCACGCATAGTGCATAAGCGAATCAACTAATCAGAATCTTTCCTTTCCTCCCAATCTATGGAAAAAAAGAATTTCGATTGGTTGATTACCTTATGCACTATAAATATTCACAAATAAAATTTTAATTGTGAATATTTATTGCGCACCTTCGTTCGCGCTGACTCTCTGAGCCCACATTTAATTTGTTTTTATGATTTTAAGAAGAGAGAATCCTTGTTTAACATATTAAATCTTATGCACTATGCATTATGCGTTATGCAAGAGTCTGTGCTGCGGTCATTAGGGTATATCCACACAACTTGCATAGTCGCATAAACATATGCATGAAGAAAATTATCCAATCACATTTTACGTACAACTTTGTAAGAGAAATGCAATTGGATAATTTTCTTTATGCATATGTTTATGAAGCTATGCAAGTTTGTGTGAATATACCATTAAGTTTATTCGTCGATTAACTTTATCACCAAAATAGCCAACAGCAAGACTTAAAAATCTGTCTTTCTAAGGGCCATTCCACACAAATTTGCAGAGCCGCATAACCATATGCATAAAGAAAATTATCTAATCACATTAATTCTGTCATACAGACAAACGTAAACTACAATTGGATGATTTTATTTATGCATATGTTCGTGTGGAATGCCCTTGAGAGCCTCTTTCACCAACTCCGATTAACTTAATCGGTCGATTAGTTCATCGGAATTGACCAATCTCATTTGTCATTTTGTTTGACGGTAAATGCGATTGGTCAATTCCTAATTTCCTTCGGCCGATTAAGTTAATCGGTGTTGATAAAAGAGGCTCTAACTTATTCTTGTTAGGGCCACTTTCACCAAGTTCAGTTTGATTATTAATAGCGTTTTCGATTGGGGTGCACTGGCTGCATTCAGTGTCAAGAGCGTGTTCGATTGGCAGTGCCAATGCGCACTTGGCTAGTGTCACGTGTTCATTTGATCGCACGACACTCGCGTAGTGCGCACTCAGTGCGCACTAATACCGTATTCGATTTACTGACTCGACCCGACTCCGAGTCAACAGTCTGTTCTGTTTAGCTGCATAAGAAGAGCTAATTGTATAAGAAATGCAGCTGAAAAGACCAGACTGTTGACTCAGAGTCGGGTCGAGTTAGTA